AAATACGAGCAATACTGCGCCTCCTCCTCCTGTTGGCCCTCCTGGTACACCCTCTCCACTCCTCCTCCTCCGCCTCCTCCTCCTCCTCCTCCTCCTCCTCCTCTTCCTCCTCCTCTTCCTCTTCCCTTCCTCCTCCTCCTCCTCCTCCTCCTCCTCCTCCTCCTCCTCCTCGCCCTCCCCCTGGGCCCAGGCCATGGCCACGAAATATGAGCAGTCAAGTTCATTACTGATGGCCCTCCTCCGCCTGCGTCTCCGGCCCCCCCCTCGTCGGCCTCCTTGTGCTCCTGCTCCTCCTCTGCGCTCCTCGTCCTGGGCCTCCTCCCCAAGGGGAGGAGGAGGTATAGAAGGAGGAACATCAGGAGGACTACCCTCCCCCATCTCTCTTTCATTGGCTTCCCTCCTCCTTCCTCGCTCTCCATCCTCCCTTCCTGACATTCCTCATCTCCTGTCCTCTCCTATATCCCTCACCAGTCCCTGCTCATGCGCAGGTCGATCATTTACCAACCGGCCCATCGGAAGGCGACATGGGTCCCACTGGGACCCTCGGCGGACCCACGCGGGCACCATTTCACCGCATGGTCGAAGCCGGGGAGGAAGAGTAGGATGAGAACAAGAGTGCGGGAGATAGTGGGGGTGCATTGTGCGAAATGCATAACGCCGCGTTGTAAGGAATGCTATCTTTTGTTTGCTTTGCTGAGTATGTTGTGCAACGTTGTGTAATGTCTTAGTGTGTGACGACCGTGCGGAGCGACGAGCTACAGCCCCAGTGCTACGTCTCTATACGTAGCGCTGCACACCGCGGCCGCGCTGCGGGCGCGGCCGCGGCGGCACTGTCCCATGCCCGCCGCGTCCGAGTAAACCCCGGGGGGCGCCGCCTGGGGTCGGGGCGGGATCCGTTGTCCCCCCCCCCCCCCCGCGGCAGCGTCCGTCCTCTCGGCCGCGCGCGGCCTGCGACCGCGTGGGTGCCGCGGTTTGCGCTGTGTCGCTGTCGGACAGATGGCCGGCTGCTGGGCCCAGCGTCATGATGCAGCCCTGTGCGACTGCGTGGTGGCGCTGAGTGGATCGTTCCTGGCTCCTCCCACCAGCCCGGGGTCCACGACTTGGCTATGACGCATGCGCCAAAAAACTTCACCCTCGCTCCTGCGCCCAATCTCGTCGCTGGTCTCCTGCCAACGCGGTGGCACTGCGTCTCCTGAGATCCGCGCAATGTCGATTGGGCCGTCGCGGCCGCCGCAGTCGGCGCAGTTTGCGGTGGTTCCCCCTGCTGCCCAAGGAGCCCCCCTAGCGCGAACGAGTTCGGTTGCGAGTGGGAAATCTTGCGGCGGGCGAGCTGCTCTCGTGCGAGGGCCGCCTCGGGCGGCTAAGCGCGTTGATGGAGGCGGCTCATCGTGGACTGCGCGGCCGAGCCGCGCAGACGCAGCGATTCCTTCGGCCCGCAAGGCCCCCCTGAGAACGTCAGCGTGCCCTTCTGCCGCTTGCACTGCGCGGTGCTCCAATGGGTCGCCGAAGCCCGCGCCGGGGCAGAGCGCTGCGCCCGAGTGCCCAGGGCAAGCCTCCACGGCGAAACCGGCCCTCCGTGGCGTCATATGCCGGGGCGCTTTCCTGCTTTCGCCGAGCAGCTCTTCGCCGAGTCTGCGCCGCGGCGGGGCGACCGCGCGCCGCCCGGGCTGGAGGCGCGGGCGCTCGAGCGCGACGACGCGGTGGGGCGCGGGCGCGAGCGCGGCAGGCGTCGCAGCGCCGAAGAGGGCCTCGCCGACGTCGATCGCCCGCGCCGCCGCTGGCCGCGCACTCCTCCCCCACTTCTCTCATCGCTCAGCTCGGGGGGCGCGCGGAGCGTGCGGGCCTGTTGCGCCGGGGCCCGCAGGGCGCAGCAGGGGGGGGGGGGCGGTCGCGCCGCCCAGCGGGGCGCGCTGGCAGGGGCGCCCCTCCCCCCCTCTCGTCGCGGCCAGGGCCCCGGGCGTCTCCGTGGAGCACCCTCGCCGGGCGGCGGGCGCCGAGAGGGGCCCCGCGGCGCCCCGCCGCCGGCCGGCGCCGCGGTCGCCCGTATGGGTAGGTAAGAGACGCTGACTTGGGGCGATTGCCCGTGGTCTGATGTGTGGAGCCACGCTGCCTCTCGGGCGGCTGGAAGAAACTTCGACAAGGAAAGCTAGGCCCACGGCGCGGGGCGCAGGGCGCGCCACTGTCGCCCGAGGCAGGAGGGCGCGGCCCGCGTGTCCACGGGGGACGCAGGCATCGCTCTGCCCTCCAGCGCCGTCGGCGAGGTCGAGGCGCAGCGGGCGGCGGCGCCCGGGCGCGGTGTTTTCTCGCCGAGGTGCCCGCCGCTCACGAAGCCGCCGTGGCTCCCGCGGCAATTCTCCTGCGCGTGGTGAGCTTGCTGTCCGCACTGTTCAGTGTCAGTGGTCTGGCTGCGCGGGGCTCCTGGATGGCATCAATCGGCCCACTCCGGATTTCGCGTCCTGGGAGGTGAGCGAACTCCGAGTGGTGCAGCCCCAGAGGCTGGAGGGGGGCGCCGCGAGGGGTTGGAGCGCCTAGCAAAACGGCCTTGGCGAGGAAGCCACAATCATGGATTTTATTTTGGTTTGGGCCACATTTTGGCCTCATGGAGGGGTGTGTGTGTAAATTGAGCGCGCCGCGTTCTCTGATGGATCTCTTCCAAGATGGCCCCAAGATGGCTTCGAAGGGCGCCCCGAGACAGCCCCGCGACGTGCCCAGAAGGCCCCGAGAGGCCCCCAAGAGGCCCCAGAGGCGCCCCCAACAGGCTCGCAAGATAACCCCAAGAGGCCCCCCCCAGATGCACCCAAGACGCCCCGCAAAGCCTCGGCGATAATGCGAACATCGTTTTTCGGCCTCTGGGAGCGGGGGGGGGGGGGGACGAGTTGCGGGGTCCCCACCTTTGATCGATCTCTTGCAAGATGTCCCCAGGATGGCCCCCGAGGCTCCCGAGGGCGCCCCGAAACGGCCGCGAGAGGTTCCCAGGGGGCCCCAAGAGGCCCCCAAGAGGCCCGAAAAATGCGAGCGGCCCCCAACGCCGAAGAGGCACCCCAAACGCTCCAAGAGGCCTCAGCGAGGAGGCCAACATCACTGATGAAACTCAGGTTTTGGCGGCGCGCGGTCTCGTCGCGAAGATGAGCACCGTGCGGTCGGACAGCCGGTCCTCGGCCACGGTGGCGGGGTCTCTCTCGCGGGCGAGGGCGGCGTCTGCGGCGAATGGCGCCGCCGGCGGCGCGGCGAGAAAGGCGCGGTCTCTATCTGCGCCGCGGTCCGCGCAGCACCGTCGTAGTGCGTCGGAGGGGCAGGGCCGATCTTAGCCATGTGCTTCAAGAGGCCCCTCCAGAAGGCACGGCCAGGCCGGTCGCGCGAGGACGTGGCAGGACGGGGCTCCCGCACCGCAGGGAGCTCGTGGGGGTCAGGGGGCGCGCGCCGCGTTGAAGTCACCTGCGGCCATGGAAGGCCTCTCTGCAGGCTTCTCATTCGCGCGGGCTGCCGCGGCAATCCAGCGGCTCGCAATCGCGCTCGTCTGGGCAACGCTCATGTCGTGGTTGCGGACGTTCATGGTGACGAGCTCGCCTCGACGACAAGCTGCCTTGCTGGCAAGTATGATCACGCGGCCAGCGGCCAACACTTCGCATGTGATGATGGGCTGCGAATTAGAATCACCGTGATGTGTCGACAACGCGGCCGATCATTTCTTGCATGTGTCTGTGTCTGGAGGCTCTCTGGGTATCTCTGCTTGGGCTCGGGCGTCGGTGGAGGGGATAAGGATGGCGACGCCGCCTTCCCAGGCTCATTGAAGGAGAAGATGAGGATCCGATGCCAGCGACTGTTCAGCTGGAGCCACGAACGCTCGATGCCGTACCTGGTGACTGCGCCGGTGTTCCACCAAGCTTGGGTCGCCTCCTGCGGGCCCTTAGCCTCCAGCCTGGCCGCCGTGATGCCAGCACAGGTGGCCCGACCCTGCGATTGTGGGCCGTCCACTCCTAGTCGCCTTGAGTCGCGTGAGAATTTGTCGGGTGATTTTTGTCCGGCTTTCCTGACGGGATTGTTCGGGACTGCTGTCGGCGGAGACGAAGGTCGGGACGGCGCCGGCCGCCAGGGACTGGGCGAACAGATGGTGCCACTGACCGGCGCCAGTGTGCGTCGCCTGCGCCCAGGCGGTCGCACCTGGTGTTGCGACCCCTTTGCCTACTAACAGTGGCATGGTGAACCGGCGCGCGGGGATGTCGGGCTCGATCCGCATCTGCTCTTTCGAGACTCCTGCCGCAGTGAGCCGCCCGCGCACGCACTCCAGCATCTTTTCGGGAGACGCGGGCTCCGGGGATCCGATTTCGAGAGGCTGGAAGGCTCGGGTGGGCGGCCCCACGTCGCAGGCTGCGCCACGTCCGTGGGCGCGGTCGCCTCGGCGAGCGCCCTCGCCTTGTCGACCTCCTCCAGCTTGGCGCGGGTCTCGCGCCGCCGCCGCCCCAATGTGTCGCGGAGGCGGCGGAGCTCGGCCGTGCCTTCGGCGGCCGCCTCGACATCCCTGCCGGTCCTGGTGGCGTGCAGGGTGGGCTGCTCGGCGGCGGCGGATGAGGCCGCTGCGCGCCGGCGGGCGAAGGCCGCCTGCATGCGCTCCACCGCGGCGGCCATCTGGGCCTGCACCGTGGTCTTGAGGCCCGCTTCCAAGGATGCTCCGTGGCCCGCATCATGCCCAGCAGCGCTGGAAGCACACCCACAAGAGCCAGTCCCAGGTGCCGCGCTTGGGCCCTGCGTCCAGGGATCCCGTGCTCGAAGCGGGTCGTCCTGGGGGTTGTGCGGGCGCGGGGGCGCCTGGCACTGGAGCTGAAGCTCTCGGGGCCGTCGGAGTCGTGGTCCTTGGCCTTGTGGGGCGCCCCGCTGAAACGATGATTGTGGATCTGGCCGCGGATCAGCGGTATCCATGACCTGCCACTGGCAGGAATCATCTTGTGCCAAACTGGTTACTGAGGAGGAGGCGGAGGAGGAGGAGGATGATGATAATGATGAGGAGGAAGAGAAGGATGGGGAGGAGGAGGAGGACTAGACACATGTGTCACAAGTTCCACTGGTGCCCTGGAAGGATCCCGCTTCCGAGCCTGGCCTGGCTGGGAGGTCTCAAGCGCGACTCGTCTCGGACAGCAAACAATATTCAAGCAGTCAGCCCGATCGAGTCTCTGCTCTGCCCAGCGTTGGGCGCGGCTAGGCCCAGCATCGAGCACCACCGCTGATATGCTCGAGGGAAAACTGCACGGAGGCGTCCGCGCGCTCACAAAAGTGGTTTTGCCTAAGCCTGCTGTACACTACACCGAGCGGACAGGAAACGCGAATGAAAATGCCCACGCGGCCATCCTATCTCACAGATCGGGATCTCCCCTGTCGTCCAGCACCGTGTAATATCGGACTGGCCAAGCAAGGAACGTCTCCACCGATTCCGCCTCCACTACCACTCATACATCTCCTCTTC